GTTAGTTGCTCTGCAGACCAGCTCGGCTCTATTGCTTGTCTAATAAACTCTCTTAATTCTACAAAAACTGGAAGGACAATTTTCTACATCACCTGTAGCCTGTCTCGTCATTGTTGGTAATCAAGCCTACTATTTTTGAGTCGTCTGCAAACTTGATGATTGAGTTGGAGGCGTGGTTGGCCACGCAGTCATGGGTGAACAGGGAGTACAGGAGGGGGCTGAGCACACACCCTTGTGGGGCCCCAGTGTTGAGGATCAGCGAAGTGGAGATGTGGTCCTCTGTAGCCTAGCTTTAGAGCACGCGCTTGACCCAAGGTAGTGGTTCGTCCCGGGACACCCATACACAAATGTATGCACGCTGCTGTAAGTCGCTGGATAAAAGCGTCGCTAATGGCATATATTATTATTTTTTTGTGTCTACTTACCACTGGGGGCGGCCGTCAGAAGTCCATGGACCCAGTTGCAAGGGGTTCAGACCCGGCCTCGAGCTAATGATGAGCTGGAGGGTACTATGGTGTTGATGTGAGCATTGTCAAAACGCTTCTTACATAGGTATCCTCTTGTCCAGATGGGATAAGGCAGTGTGTAGTGTGATGGCAATTGCATCGTCTGTGGATCTATTGGGGCGGTAAGCAAATTGAAGTGGGTCTAGGGTGACAGGTAAGGTAGAGGTGATATGATCCTTGACTAGTCTCTCAAAGCACTTCATGATGACGGAGGTGAGTGCTACAGGGCGATAGTCATTTAGTTCAGTTACCTTTGCTTTCTTGGGTACAGGAACAATGGTGGCCATCTTGAAGCATGTGGGAACAGCAGACTGAGAAAGGGAGAGATTGAATATGTCCGTAAACACACCAGCCAGCTGGTCTTCGCATGCTCTGAGGATGCGGCTAGGGATGCCATCTGGGCCTGGGGTTAACATGCTTAAATGTCTTACTCACATCGGCCACAGAGAAGGAGAGGCCACAGTCCTTGGTAGTGGGCCTCGTCGGTGGCACTGTGTTATCCTCAAAGCGGGTGAAGAAGGTGCTTAGCTTGTCTGGAAACGAGACGTCGGTGTCAGCGACTTGGCTGGTTTTCCTTTTGTAGTCCGTGATTGTCTGTAGACCCTGCCACATACGTCTCGTGTCTGAGCCGTTGAATTGTGACTCCACTTTGTCTCTATACTGTTGTTTTGCCAGTTTAATTGCCTTGCGGAGTGAGTAGCTACACTGTTTGTATTCTGCCATATTCCCAGTCACCTTGCCATGGTTAAATGCGGTGGTTCGCGCTTTCTGCCATCTATCCACGGTTTCTGGTTAGGGTAGGTTTTAATAGTCACAGTGGGCACAACATCACCTATACACTTCCTGATAAACTCAGTCACCGTTTCAGTGTATTCGTCTAAATTATTTTCGCAAGCTACCCGGAACATATCCCAGTTTGCGTGATCAAAGCAATCTTGAAGCGTGGATTCCGATTGGTCAGACCAGCGTTGAATAGTCCTTAGCACGGGTACTTCCTGTTTGAGTTTCTGTCTATAGGAAGGGAGGAGCAAAATGGAGTCGTGGTCAGATTTGCCGAAAGGAGGGTGGGGGAGGGCCTTACAACCATAGCGGTAACTCGCCTAGCCACGCTAGCTTTGCTCTCATGTGGGTGCTAACAAACTAGCAAGCATGCTAGGTAGTGTTACATAGCAACAGCCATTGTCAGTCAATCCAGTAGGGGTTGGAAGCTATGGTGAGCTTTGATAGGTTACTTGCCCCACGATATCACAGAAGATTTCCATTAAGATTTGCCCAACTTTAGCCCCGCTGCGTTCAGCTTCATTGCCCAACACTTGCTTCGCCCAACGGTCCCCCGCCCACTCCACTTCTCACCGCTTTCTTTCCATAAAAAATTACTGGGAAGCAGTTGTTTCACCGAGTGATGCCGTCTCTACTGTATACACCCCGTCAAATGTGAGCTGCGCATCAAAATCTTGAAAATAGAACCAGAGCGTAAGTTTACGCTCGAGCAGCACAAGCCTTCTGTGAAGCCGGCGCGATCACGCCCAGGTTTTGATTAAATTAATAGGAGTGTCTCACGCTTGGCAAATGTTCGGCCTACGCATCCGATGTAGCAGGTCAAAAAATGAGATTTTTCAGCTTCCTCCCTGTTGTTTAATTAACAGAGCGACAAGTTATGGCATTTCTGTGTGTAAACAACAATTTTCCCATTTTCAGGCAAGTGACCAAAATCATTGGTTAACCAAAAAATACTGCTGACTTGGCCGATGGGAAAGTCCCTTTCAGACCTTATAGTCAATCTCTGTGTAGGGTATGACAGTGATTAATCAGTTGCAAAACGGTTTTAAATGGGCTATGATGAGAACAGAGTTTGTCTAATCAGGTCACATAGTTTAAAACCCTGTCAAACTGCAACAACGTTGTACTTGCTCTTGTGAAATATATAAAAAAACTAGAAAAGGACATTTACTGAAGTAAATGTTGTGTGCTTGCTAGTCCAGAGGTATTTCTTGTTGTGAAATAGTAGTAGTAGTAGTGGTAGTGACGGCAGTAGTAATGGTAGTAGTAGTAATATAGTTTTTTATAGGCTATGTGTTCGTTATAGTGAGCTATTCTGGGGTGGTTCGAAATTGTAAAGAAGGTTGCATGGGCTTTCTCTTGATGCAACTCCGTGCAGCCAATGGCAATATCCGCTTTAGCTATAATTCCAGGAGCCGCTTGTGGATTTGACAGCTCTAACTCAGTTCCACCTCCGACACGCCAAAACAACTGCTATGCGGATGCTATGCGAATTTCGAACCACCCCAGAATAAAGCTCTAAGTCTCTAAGAGCTTTGCACACCTGGATTGTGCAATATTTTCCCATTATTCTTTTCAGAATTCTTCAAGCTCTGTCAAAGTGTTGGGGATCATGGCTAGACAGCAATTTTCAAGTCTTGCCATAGATTTAAGGACATTTAAGTCAAAACTGTAACATGACCACTCAGGAACGTTGTAGGTTATTGTATTTCTGAAAGGTGCATTCCTCTCCCAGTGTCTGGTGTAAAGCAGACTGAAGCAGGTTTTCCTTTAGAATTTCCCTTAATTTTTATCCTGGAAAAACTCCCCAGTCTTTGCCATGGTCAAGGATACCCATAACATGATGCAGCCACCACCATGCTTGAAAATAAGGAGGCAGTTACTCAGTGATGTGTTGTGTTGTATTTGCCCCAAACATAAGGCTTTGCATTTAGACCAAAAAGTGTATTCATTAGTTTTTTTGCAGTATTACTTTAGTGCCTTGTTGCATACAAGATACATCACTTTTTCATTTAAGTCGTGATTGTGGAGCCACTACAATGTTGTTGATCCATCCTCAGTTCTCCCATCATACCCATTTTAAAATCCCCAATGGCTTCGTGGTGACATCCCTGAGCAGTTTCCTTCCTGTTCTGCAGGTCAGTTCAGAAGACGACTAACTTTGATGTGTCTGGGTGGTTTTATACATAATCCACAGCATAATTATTAACTTTACCATGCTTAAAGAGAATCAATGTCTGATTTGTTACCCATCTACCAATCACTGCCCTTCTTTATAAGGCTTTCGAACAGCTCCCTGGTCTTTGAGGAACCTTACAGATGTATGCATGGGGGGACAGGGGTAATCATTCAAAAATCATGTCAACCCTTATTTCAGTCCATGTAATTTGTGATTTGTTAAGCCAAATGCTATTCCTTAACTAATTTAAGCTTGCCTAAACAAAGGTGGTTAATACTTCAATACTTCATCATTTGTATGCATTTTTTTGAGGGGGGGATCCAATAAAATAACAATTCAAATCCCACTTTGTAACAAAATGTGAAAAAAAGTCCAAGGGGTGGTGATACCCACTGTAAACATAACATTGTGTGAACAGGTTGTTTATCATGAGTCTTGTCCTGGAGGCAGAACTGAGTGATTTCCCCTTAGCTTGGCTAGATTGTAAAAATTCATGAAAGGAAAAATAGCTTTTTGTTCTTAATTTAAGGTTAGTGTGGTTAAAGTTAGGTTTAAAAACAGATGGCTGTGCCCATCCGCAGTGTGGCCTCCAGAACAAGAGTCATGACGAATAACACTAACCTGCACTGTGTCAACCAAAGCGACCAGATTTACAATCTGTTGCAGGGAAATCAAAGGGTTTTGTCCATAGTAAGATAAGCAGATAAGCCAGTAAAGAAAAGAATGAAGCAGTTATAGTGAATATGATACAGTGATGTCAGCCAGTGTGGAACTTTTTTTGTACCACTCCTGTGCTAGTCAAAACTAGGAAACGTCCAACTCCCTAACTGGTTGAATGTGGCAATTGTATAACTACAACCAGTTCGCAAGTAAGAAAATGTCAGTTTCCTAATTCCGACTAGCACATTAACACAGCATTGTACATAACAGAATATTCATCCCACCGAAGAATACACATCAATATTATCCGACTTATGAAGAATCAGAGTTTAAGTTGGTCAATGACAAAGCTGAAGCCCTGGTTTAGACCCAAACTAATTCAGAGCCACATTCAGTAAACAATCGTTGAACGCTGCAGATAGAAATGCCATTAATAGAGCAGACATGATTCCTTTCCTCCTGTCAGAGAAGCCAGTTTGTTCTTTATGTATAGAACATAACATTTGAACTTTCTACATTGTGCCCTGTTGAACGAGTCCCAGGATTTAGAATAACATTTCAGGAACTGTTCTGTTTAGAAGAAGAAGAAAACACATGGGCCAACACCACTGAGAACCATTTTGGGTTTCATTAATACCTTTTGTTAGCTTAAAAACTAGTAAACAGATCAGCAGAATAAATTAATACTTGGAGCGCTATATTTCATTTGTAGTATATTTTTATTGCACTTGTAGAAGTGACCAGTAAGCGCTTTTATTTCATTTAAATCATAATTTGCATTTGTAGCTTTGTGTATTTTTTTTACATTAATTGCAGGCATCTTTAATCACAGAGCAGATGGCCTGTAGAGTATAAGGCTCTTCAATATCCAGGAACTACTTCCAGGCACAGGACCCATCTCTCCTCTTGATACAGGCAAGGTTTTGGCCATTGTCAGTCCCCAAGTCCATCCACAGGCACTCCTCTGGGGTGCTGATCGGACAGGGGAGGGAAGTGCAGCGGATGATCTGTGGATTGGAGCAGAGAGACAGAAGACCAAGATCACTGACAGATCATTATCCCAATACTCGAGCTGATGCGTTTTACCAATGTGACCAGAGTAGTATACTTCCTTTTAGAAAAAGTACTGTATAAATATTGGTGTACAGTAATATCACTATAATTCCCATCACACAAACACCTTGCAATTGCAGCCGCTTTGGTAGCGGCGAGTCAAGCACTTCTTTTGCGTGGCACTCAAGTCTTCCCAGGGCATATTATAGCCACACTGTGTTGCATACATCCTTCCAGTCACCAGCTTGCCTACAGACAGGAGATAGTGAGTTTTTGCAATAACTAAAATCGATAAAAGTATTATCATTTTGAAGAAATAACAAAGTCTCTCCTTATTGGTTAGAATTTCCACAACAGATGTTACGCGAGCAGGTGTCCATATACTTGGTCATGTAGTATACATGCTGTGTTGGTGTGCCCCTGGCTATCTGTAAGTAATAAAAAAGAAAATGGTGCTGTCTGGTTTGTTTAATAAAGAGTTTGAAATGGTTTATACTTAAGTATATTTAAAACCAAATACTTTTAAATCTAGTATTTTACTGGGTGACTTTTACTTGAGTCATTTTCTATTAAGGTATCTTTACTTTTACTCAAGTATGAAAATTGGGTACTTTTTCCACCACAGCTAATTAGTAAGGAACTCCTCACCTGGTTGTCTAGGTCTTAATTGAAAGGAAAAACCTGCAGACACTCAAATCTCCATGGAATTACTTTTACACCCCTGCTATAAGGCATCAAAAGGTGAACACTTTGAAAGGGGGTGTAGACTTCCTATAGACACTGTATAAGCATTATAAACATTGTTTCATAATCATTTAATGAATTGTAAACGTGTAAGCATTTGTACATTTTTATAAAGTGTAACTTGAAGATGTACAGAGAATGTATTGTTTCTAAGGCACTTGTTTTCTTATACAAGGTGAAGTCAATAGTTTAGAGCAGGCCATGATGCTGTAAGCATTTTAAGCAGTTTAACCCAATGAGTCCAAGTGAATGTCAGTTTTTGGACTTCTAATCCCTTTTAAAACAGTGTGTTTGAGATACACACTTCTGGGTTGTAACATTGGATTAGTCCATGTCTACTGCATCCGCTGGTACCAACCATTAGTTTGTGATTAATGGGGGCTGAGGTAGAGAGGGGTTTGTGAGACCAGGGCAGATCCCAAAGGGGCCAAGGGCAGGGTCTTTTACAAATACGTCTGTAGAGTCACTATTAAAAGCCATTTATGAAACGCTAACACACAAACCTAACATATTTTGCTCTGACGCGCACAAGCTACACAAGTTGTGTATGTTCTTCTACATACATCATATGAAATCCAAGGACATAGTGTCTTCAGTAATGTAATACGCTTACATAGTTGTCACAAACACTAAACAGTTGTCACCGACTAGTTGGATATCAATTTCCAACTGAGCAAAACATTTCTGTACTTACAGCATTGACATTCATTTTTATCAGGTTTTTGCTTTGGCGGACCTAATATTTCTTTACATTGGTCAATAAAACTCATGAATGCAACGGTTTATGTCAAATTGTTTTGCGTTTCACTTGTAGCCCTGGTTGTCCTAAAAAGAAAATAAAAAACACTTCAGCGAGGCTAAATGTAAGGGCTGGACATGCAGATAAATGAAAAGTAGATTTTTGCTGGGGTCTCAGGACTGATAGGGTTAACCAGTGCTGTCAATGGAACTTGGGTAACGTAGTGAGAACCGCACCTATGAAGAGATACTCCTTGTTGGTTTCCAGAGTCACGCCGCATGCGGCTGGGGAGGATGCAGTGAAGATGGCGTGGATAACCCGGTCAGGACCTTTGAACATCTAGCCAATCACGAGAGAAAGAAGGATCTGTCAAACAGTTTTGAACCGCACTGACTGCAGCTCTCAGGCACTGTCAGTCTTTCCTAATTCCCACTCTATACCCCATCCCCTCAGCACTAAGCCTTTGATGTTTGCAGATCTGCAAGCAATCATTTTTTATTTAACCAGGGTCACTTTTACAGAGGAGCCCTGAATTACAGAAACATATCAAAAAACAAAAATGCAAGCAGAAAGAACACGGTCATCAAAATAAAATAAATAGCTTTCTGAATTGTCCGAGAGTCACCAAAACAAATATTTGAACATTTGGAAGATGGTTTCACAAATTCAGGTGCAAAAAAAATAAATACTTAAAGCTGGTTTACCTAACTCCGTAGAGACAAAAGGAATTTCCAGTTACCACACCCAGTCTCAGGGATGGCTAACTCATGTCTTAGTAATGATGTAAGGAACAGTGGGAATTTTTAAAAAAGGGCTTTATAAATGAAAACATAGCAATGTATCAACCTGTGACAGAGGGCCAACCAACTTTCTGGTAGAGAATGTAATGAAGCGGGAGCAGAGTTCATATAGAGGATGTTGCCATAGTCAAGGGCCAGTTGGAACAGCGACTGAATAATACAATTTATACTATTTAAATCAAGAGGCATTTCTATAGAAGTTAACCTTTTTTTTTTTTTCATATGGTGGAAGCACCACAGCTTATACTTATCCAGATCCTTAATATCTGCAAACATTGAAGCTAAGGGGGACGGGAGTGAATTGGGACTAGCTGTCAGACTGGGGTTCAGGGGGCTTCAATGTTTCAGTGCAGGAAGGAACAACCACTTAATAAAAAGGCTGATCATACCTTGATCTGTTGGATGTCATACTTGGTGTTAGACCCAACATTCACTCCAACCACCTTTGCCATGATCACTAGAAGAGAGAAATATGGTTTAACTCCACTGAAATAATCCATTCAGTATACTGGTCAGTTAGACACTGATGGAGTCAGGGTGTTGTGGGATCTGAGAGTACATGGAATCCTTTACAGACCCAAGATGTCACAGGCTTTAGCGCCATGCTCTACCAACAGAGCTCACGCCCTCAGCAGCAAAGCCAAAGCAATCATTCTCATGTCTCGCAATGTGTCCCTCAATCATTTTGGAGAATATACCAAGAAGGACATCTCTTCGCTTAAAACGGTTGTCCATAAACTCAACAGGAACTGTCCCCAGGGAATAATGTGTTGCATGTCATTTCACCTCTTCACTAACTGAACCAGTAATCTGATTCAAGGTAGGCCTAAATTGATCTGAAAGGTCAAGTATAGCCACTCGTGACGGGGTTCTGTCCAAGACACTCAACCGCCCTTAGCATACTGCACAGGACAGACTGCGCGTACATCTTAATTTCACAATGCCGGTATTCATGTTTTACAGGGACTAACCTATCCTATAAGAGGTGCCTGTACTCAAGCAGTTGGTAAAGTGCTGGTAACACTGCTATCAACTCGAGACAAAAGCATGGAAATATCTCTTAGTAGAATGAAGAACCGTTAACCAACCTAGCCGCATGATAAACTGAGCCAAACCCTGAATGAGTGAGAGTACATCTTACAGATCAGTGACATAATAGCTGAGACATGTAGCCTAGTCCCATTTGCCATGTAGGCCTAGTCATTTTGATGGGTTCTCTGTAAAATGTCAAGTATGTGAAGTCATGTTGAATTGAACATTTGCTTTGAAACAAAAACAGTACAACAGTGCTTTAGGTTAAATATAAGAAAATATTAACTTTTAACACATATATATACACACACACACAACATACACTAATTTAGCTTCTGGACAAATAAGTATTCTGTAGGCATAGAGCAGGGATGGGGAAACTCTAGTCCTCGGGGGCGTGAGTGGTCATTTAACACCAATCCCTAGCAAACACAGCTGATTTAACTCATTGCATTCTAAACTGAAGGTCATGATTAGTTGATTGTTGGAGTCAGGTGTGTTAACAGGGGCAAAAGTGACAGCAATCAGGAGCGAGGACTGGAGTTGCCCATACCTGGCCTAGAGAAAAATATAACACCTGGGGTTTAATCATTACGCCAATTCCATTTACTCCAAACTGAAAAAGTAAACAAGTGTTTCTATTGGACAAATTCAGGTAGGTCCCTCCGTTTCGTTAGATCTGTAATGAATAAACTCCAGGTGTAGCCCATTTTACTGTTAATGCTGACTTAATGTAACTACTTGTGAGAAGATGTAAATATAGGCCTAATGATCATGTCCTAAAAAGGCTAACATTACAAAGACCACAACATTCGTAACATTTCTGCATGATGCGCATTGATAGTGTAGTACGCAGCCTATCGACATGTGAAGAGAAACTCCAGAAGAAATGTTGCCAAAATTGCCTTACCGACGTCTGCATTGCAAAAAGCCTGTTGAGGATGCAGCATAATCATGCAAGTGCAAGTTTCTGCGATTTCATCGACCTGCCAAAGGAACAGTACTACCAGACTAATGAAACAATTGCTTACCGACCAAGTCATTTTAGAAACTAATTATTTTACTGTCGACGCTTTAGAAGAAAAAAGCTATTGTGTGGAAGGAAAATGTTTACCCCACGACAATTCAGTCAATAACTACGAGAAACCATTAAAGCCTTCTACATACACATACTACATTGAATCAGCCGCCTTTTATTGCAGGCTGTTAGCCCCTTCCCAAGTCAGAACAAAACCAGTGGTAGGCTGATCATTCTATTAATCCAGAACCACAGCCACTCCTTTAAAAAAATCCCCTGCCTAATGGGACAACCACAGAGCAGGCTCAACATAAATTATATAAATTGTCCGTCTTTCAATTAAACAATGGGGATGAATCAGAAAGATACATTTTAGGCTACACCTACTGGAATTCCTTACAGTTTTGTTGCTTTCATTAAAATAAATCACCTGGGGTAGCTTTAGAGCAGGTGAAAGAAATGGCCCCACCACTCTGGGATCTGTGATGCCACCTTTGTGACCAATCAGATTCACAGAAATCACAGATCGTGCAGGTCGGGCATGGCACACGTCTATATAAATCAGAGCGGGCTATCATTTCCCCACCGGTATTATTTTAGCAAACAGGAAAATAAGTCACTCCCAATAGACTCTTTAGAGAAATGTTTTAGCAGCCTACACCTAAACATTAGCGATCTGACATGCAGTATCAGTCTGATCAACTGTAGGCCTAGCTTCTATGCGCCCTGTCTCATCCAGGGGAAACAAAGTGGTAACATTATGTATTTATAGCCTAAGCCAATTTATTTGTGTTGTGATCAACTTTGGTTTATATTATATAACTTCGGTTGGCTAGGCTACCTAGGCCCAGTGGTGGAAAATGTAGCCTACCCAATTGTCATTGAGTAAAAGTAAAGATACCTTCATGAAAGTGAAAGTAACCCAGTAAAATACTACTTGAGTAATAGTATAAATACTGTATACTGAAGTAGTATTTCAAAGTATTTTTTATGTAGTTACTTTACACCATTGTTTTCTTTAATTCAAAATGCATAAAATCAACAAATAGTGATGACATAGGCTAGACTGTTAATGGACCTTTAACTTTTTAATTACAGATTAACAGTATATGGGTTATTCTGCAGAAGTTGTGCAAATTGGGGTAAAAAAAAAAGAAGCTAATTTGTATCCTATTTTTACCAAACTTTCACCACACGTCTTCCAATAGGAATATGCAGTATATTATTCACACGCTTACTGCAGATTTGAAATATTTACCTGAATTCCCTACCACCCCATTGAATTTGTCACTACCGAAACATAGTGAAAAAGTTGCAATAAAGGATCCTCCCGCGATGCACCAAGCCCTGTCTGGACCCTGGTGTGGGAGGCCCCGACCCTGGAGAGGGGCTGACGTCTGGGCCTGGAGTGGAGCCGCTGACCGGAGCTGAACTAGACCCCGGTGGAGCGGACTACTCTGGCTCCCGAGTGGAACCGCTGACCGGAGCTGTACTGGACCCCGGTGGAGCGGACAGCCCTGGCTCCGGAGTGGAGCCGCTGACCGGAGCTGAACTGGACCCCGGTGGAGCGGACTGCTCTGGCTCCGGAGTGGAGCCGCTGACCGGAGCTGGACTGGGCACCGGTGGAGCGGACTTCTCTGGCTCCGGAGTGGAGCAGCTGACCGGAGCTGGACTTGGCACCGGTGGAGCGGACTGCTCTGGCACAGGAGTGGAGCAAAGTTTCGGACCCGTATCCATCCCCATCTCTGGAGCAGAACTGAACGCCGTGCCCAGCCTGGGCACCGACGCAGAGGAAAGTTCCAGCCCTGTAGTAGGACTGGTTGCCGGCCCCAGACTGGGCACCGACACGTTTAGGAGCTCCTGCTCCAAAACGGGGCTGTACGTCGTGCCCACCCTGGGCACCGACACAGAGGTGGTTTCCAACCCTGTAGTTGGGCTGGTTGCCGGCCCCAGACTGGGCACCGACACGCTAAGGTGCTCCCTGCAGGGGTCCGTCGCTGGAGGTCGGGTCAGTTGTGTGGTTGGAGGAGGTGTAGAAACGCCACCTCTCTCCCATCGCTCCAATGTACTCACCACGCGCTCCATTGCGGTGCCGAGAGCCTGGATCCTGCTCGCCTGCCGTTGGATACGTTCCTCCAACGATCCGGACGGACCAACTGTACCTGCTGACTCCATTTTAGGTGCGTGTTTCTGTCCTGGAACGGGCCATACCGGGCTGGCGACACGCACCACAGGGCTGGTGCGAGGAGTAGGCACGGGCCGTGCCGGACTGGGAACACGCACCACTGGCTTGGTGCAAGGAGCAGGTACGGGCCGTGCCGGACTGGGAACACACACCACTGGCTTGGTGCGAGGAGCAGGCACGGGCCGTGCCGGACTGGGAACACGCACCACTGGCTTGGTGCGAGGAGCAGGCACGGGCCGTGCCGGACTGGGAACACGCACCACTGGCTTGGTGCGAGGAGCAGGCACGGACCGTGCCAGACTGGGAACACACACCACTGGCTTGGTGCGAGGAGCAGGCACGGACCGTGCCAGACTGGGAACACACACCACTGGCTTGGTGCGAGGAGCAGGCACAGGCCATGCTGGACTGGGGAACACGCACCACTGGCTTGGTGCGAGGAGCAGGCACGGGCCGTGCCGGACTGGGACACGCACCACTGGCTTGGTGCAAGAAGCAGGCACGGGGCGTACCGGGCTGGGAACTGGCGTTGGAGATCCACGACTGTTCCAGTCCTTCTCTCTCCACCACCAATCCCCCTCCAGTGAGGACTCCTCCGGGAGCCCCCACGAGTGAGGGAACAGAAATTCATCGTCGTCGTCTTCCTCCGACTCCTCTGTGTAAAACTGCTCCCATCCCTGCTCCCATGGTTGTAGGGACTCCACCTGGAACCCCCACGGGTGCAATGGTCGGGGCTCTTCTCTCTCGATCCCCGACCACCCCTTTTAGCCCCCACAAAATGTTTTATTGGGGCTGCCTCTCGGGCTTCCTCTTCGGCCGGCACCGTTGATGTCGTCGTTGATCCTCTCCTACCCGGGCTTCTTCCTTCGCCCAGGGTCCTTTATCGGCTACACTCTCCTTCATTGCCTCCCGGTAACGGACGGCCTCCTCCTCAGTAATTTTCCCCCAACCGAGGAGGACATCTACCAAGGTTACCTCCCGTTGAGTCCCAGGCGTTTGCTCCTTCTGGGCACGCTGCTTGGTCCTTTTGCGGTGGGATATTCTGTCACGTACGTTGAGAGACGGGTCAGACCAAGGTGCAGCGTGGTATGCGTACATGTTTATTAGAACGAATAAACACTCGACAAAACAACAAAAGCAACGTAACCGTGAAGTCCTCTGGGCTATAACACCACAACCCTAACAGGAACACAATATCCCACAACTACGGTAGGAAACCAGGCTACCTAAGTATGATCCCCAATCAGAGACATCGAGCGACAGCTGCCTCTGATTGGGAATCACACCCGGCCAAACATAGAAATACAAAACTAGATCTACACATAGATATATAATCACATAGATCTCAACTGAAACTCACACCCTGACCCAACCAACAAGAGTTCTCTAGGTCAGGGCGTGACAGAAGGAGAGTGATGGAGTGCTGCATTAGATGACCTGGCCTCCACAATCACCAGACCTCAACCCAATTGAGATGATTTGGGATGAGTTGGACCGCAGAGTGAAGGAAAAGAAGCCAACAAGTGCTCAGCATATGTGGGAACTCCTTCAAGACTGTTGAAAAGCATTCCAGGTGAAGCTGTTTGAAAGAATGCCAAGAGTGTGCAAAGCTGTCATCAAGGCAAAGGGTGGCTACTTTGAAGAATCTCAAATATAAAATATATTTTGATTTTTTAACACTTTTTTGGTTACTACATGATTCCATATGTGTTATTTCATAGTTTTGATGTCTTCACTATGATTCTACAATGTGGAAAATAGTTTTTTTTTTTTTATGATTATGATGATTAATGATTAGGTGTGTCCAAACTTTTGACTGGTACTGTACATCCCAGCAAACATATAATTTAGTCCCAAAACTGTACTTTACATTTTTTTATTTTTTATAAATTAGATGTTCGGTAGTGACACATAAAAATACATGAAGATGTACCTACTTGCTCACTCAGACTACTCACCATGTGGCCATGCTGGAGAGGGGTGCAATCCCATCACCTGTCAATATTTGTAGGGGTGTGGCTTAAGACAAACTCATGCTACAGTTTTTAATGTGTGTTTAAAAATAAACAAAACTAATTAGATCAGTTTCTTTCAAAGTAGTAATAGAACAACTGAAGATGTTCTATTGAAATAATAGTGTTTAAAAAAATACAAAAATAGTGTATTGACTTAAAAGAAATACTAAACAAGGACTTTGTACTATACTCATTCAAAAATATGTTTGTTATTTCCTTGGATTGAATTAGAAGATGTGATGATGTAGATTGAATTACAACATATCATGTTGTGAATAAATATCCTAAGTTTGGATACTTTTTTTGGAGGGTGGGACTGCAGTTTGCACCTATTCTGTAGAATCACCCATATAGGCCTATACATGGATGGAACTTAAAGATTTTGTGCACTGGCCATTTCCATTCCTGCGCCTACATAATGCACGTTTACTGTGAACACTGAGGCTGTACCTGCTTTAAGTTATAGTTTTAATAGTGGTCAAGTAGGCTACTGTGGCTAATACACAAGAATGGAGCTATATACAGGGAGTACCAGTACCAGATCAATGTGCAGAGGTACAAGGTATTTGAGGTAGATGTGTACATGAAGGCAGGGTAAAAGGACTAGGCATCAGGATAGATAATAATAAGAGTAAAATAAGAACAGAGTAGCAGCAGCATATGATGAGTGAAAGTATGTGTGTGTGTGTTAAGTGTGTGTTTGTGTGTGTGCGTATGTAGTGTATGTGAATGTGTGTGGGTTTTGTGTGAGAGTGTCAGTTCAGTGTGTGTATGTGACTGTGTATGTAGTGTGTATATAAAGTCTTGTCAGTTTCATATGATAGG